CGGACCTCCCCCCTCACTTCAAACCATAACAGAAGGGAAGCTAGATACATTAAAGAGGAGCTTAATCTATAAGCTTGGAGAGGAGTTGGGGATGACACACCTTTCCCTGCGTTTTCTCTCTTCTCACCTGCTCTCATACATTTAAGCTGTTGGTACATGCGAAAACTTTGCTTATGTTGGCAGTGCCCAGAGTTTCCAGATGCTTTCTGCGAGTGGCTGGGGAATGTCGTGTATCATGCTACTGACCTTGCCATCTGTCTGATTTAATTTGTTTAGTCACATAGTGATTAACATCAGTACGTTTGATGAGCAAATGCTCAGTAGATGAAAATGTCAAGGATGATCATCTTTGCTACATGGGACTGTATAGCATGAACACATCTTTCCTTTGGTTGTCTACCACAACCCAAAGCTGTGGAGTCACAGTGGAGGAATGGCCATGAAGCCACTATTTCCAAAGAGGAAGTGAACCAAAACATCTTTTAGTTGTGCCAGATTTGAACGCTCCATAAATTTACTAGTTGAATTGTTGGAACAGAACCTGCACGTGCTTGTATGCGTTATTTGAAATGTTTAAAAACAATTTTAAAATCTACAGGAGTCTTTGTATTATAATTGTAATGAATAACAATGTATTACTGATTTTATGATGTGTGTGGACTATGTTGTGCTCTGTTCACAGCTACATGAAGCAGTATCATATTGATCCATTTTATCTGCTTAAATAATCTGAAAGACTCAGGCTGAAACAGTAGCTTAGGTTACAGGACTAAAAGTAAATGAGAAGATTTGCATGAGCTAAGAGATTTGTTCAAAAGCGACTGGAAAAAAAACGCAAACATTAAAATATCAAGAGCATTATTTAATTAATGTCCTATGGAAATGTACATTCATTCCTTTTTTTAAAAAAAAACCACCAAACATTTGAATACATCTTTTCTTTCTGGACTCTTCTCACCTTGACAGTTTCTGTGAAGCTCAAATTAAAATATCAGACAAGATTCCAGCAATAACAACACAGTTCTCTTAGTAAAGAAATACTGTTTTTGGTGGAGGGGGAAGTACATTGATTGCTGAGCCAAAGACCAAGAAGTTATGTTTGCCCTCTTTAACTAAGTAGCAGTTACCACCGAATGCTTGTCTTCAAAAGAGAAAGAATGCTTTGTAATGGAATAGAGCAATGTTGCTTCAACTTAACCACACTGTCCTTCAAGACTCCCCCTACCCCTTTGGAAAAAACCTCCAACTGCTTTCTGTAAAGTGACATTCTGCAGGAATCTGCAAGAGGAGTGGTCATATAATTCAATGTGTTGCCTTCTCTTTATTTTACAAGATACACCTGAGATGGAAAACTAGAGAGAATCAGTTTGATCTCTTTTGTCAGAGCTTCTCATAAATATTAGTTAAGTTAGAATACCAATTAGTGTTTAGACATGGCCCAAATTATAATATTTAACTTAAAAATGTGAATATACAACAAAGGACTATAGTGTTTTATTAGTTGAAGACTATGGTAAATAAAATATTGTCTTAGTACAAAAGTAAATGAATACCTTTTTTAAAAAAAATAAATTGTACTGCTTTATTTGTAATATCTCAAAGCAGTTATTTCTCATAATCATTAGTGGTTAGTATTTTCTGTTTGATGCCATATCGTACTTTACTCAAGTTTTTTTTCCCTACTGCACATTTACAAAACTTAACCAACTTTCCTGTTATATAGAAAAGCAATGACATTTTTATGCAATAGGATGGTAATTAGCTTTTCTTCATGTATTTCTAATGAATAATTAAATTTGAAAGCATTTTCAATTTTATGGATTTCTTATTTTGAGATTGATGCCAAAATGAATATAGAGCATCTAGGAATTTTGAGGAAAACTAACTTTTGAAAATGTTGTTTTGTTGAATTGGATGTGTATCTGATTTGACGGGAGGGAAGTATTCAAAGTTTCTTAGATTTGATGCAGTATGTTCGTATTATACTTCAGCAGTATTTTTCTGTATTGTCAGACCTTAATCAGTTTCCCTGGGAAAAGTAGAATTTATATTTTTTTATTTCAATGTTTTTTTTACCTTGATCATTCTTGACAGATAGGAAACATTAGAAAAAAAACCCAGCGATGAGGACTTCATAGCGTTAGTAGGAGAGTATTTTCCAGATTTCCAGTAGGAAAATGTCATCAAGTTCTGAATGGTTTATTTGTTTATCAATTAGAATATCTTTCTGGAAATTGGTGGTTAACATGATAAGGATCCCTTTCTCCATTAGTCTTTATCAGAGTCATCAGCAATTATTTATAATAATTTTGCCAGTTCCTTAAATAGATAACCTTATCAGAATCTTTTGATTTGAAAATGCTGAGATTCTTGTGTAGTTCCTGTTCTTTTCCCACTGATTAGAATAAGGTTCCTGTTGCGTGTGTGTATGTAAAGCTTTAACTGGTGATAGAGACCTTTTGGTTGGAAAGAGAAATGGAAAATGTGATACTTATTTACGCCTGTGCTCTAGAAAATCAATATTTTTCTTTCCTGAAGTAAAACTAAAACAGATTTATTTTAAAAAATTTATTAAAGATGAGATTTAGCACTTGAAGTAAAATCAAGTAGAATCTTAGAATAAATTTTCTTTTCTTGCTTTATATTGTGACTGTATCTGATAATGTTTCTTTTTCTTCTCATAGTAGGCTGTGCTGGAACAAAAATGCAATGAAAGAAACACTGGATGAATGAATGAAAAGCTCTGCTTTGCAATCCCTCAGCATGGCAGGACTGCAGCTCATGACCCCTGCTTCCTCCCCAATGGGTCCATTTTTTGGACTACCATGGCAACAAGAAGCAATTCATGATAACATTTACACGCCAAGAAAATATCAGGTACTAGTGATAATACAGTAATGTCAGAAAAAAGTACAATTAAATCCAGTAACGTACTAGAAAAAGAAGCAGAGCAGCTGGAGAATGTGCAGCATTGCACATGGTGTAGGCATGTCTCTCTTACAGCTCCACCTGTTGAGAGTTCCTTGTGTCTCTTTTTCTTTAGCTTGGCTCTGTTCTACGTTTGTAACATCCCCTATGCTCTCTTCTCATTTTGCTCTAACAAGCAGAACAGCTTTTAAGCTGAATATTCTCTTGCTGCTCTCTGCGAAATCCTGTTGGGGAGAAATACAGTAAACGTTACACTGTGCATCTCAATTGCATGCATACAATCATGTCTCCTTCCCCCTCTGACCTTCTGCCTACTGTGTGGTAAATCTTGATTTATGGTTCACCTACTGGTAAAAGCAGCTCAGTAATGTCAGAAACCCCATCAGGACGTTCTCATTTTTTTAAGGAAAGCCATTTCTGAGTTCTAGAATTTTAATTCTCTTTGCACTGCAGAAGTGCCTGAAAGCTAGCACTTAGTTCACCTTGAGCTAATATACTTGCTTATTTGGCTGAAGTGATGTATACTGTTAGATTTGAAAACTGTGCCTTTCTTCACACAGTGTGTCTAGCAAGAGAATCATCTATTAAAAAGACATTGTTAGAAAGCTACTTAAAATAGCAGCAAATTGTGATACTTAAAGGATTTTAGATTTAGAAGCTAGACTATATATAGTATGTATTAATACTTTTTGAAGGACTGTGATAGTACATTGTTATGAAAGAGACATGTTAGTTCAATGGCACTGGAAAGATCTCTAGAGATCCTACTGACTTATCTGTAGTTTATTTACCACTTGTGTTATTTTTTTTGTCAGCTTTTTCACTGCATTGCTGCAAGTAAGCATGTTATTGTTTTTCAAACCTAGGTTGAACTGCTTGAAGCAGCTTTGGATCATAATACAATAGTCTGCTTAAACACTGGCTCAGGGAAGACTTTTATTGCAGTACTACTCACTAAAGAGCTGTCCTATCAGATCAGGGGAGATTTCAGCAAAAATGGAAAAAGAACTGTATTCTTGGTCAACTCAGGTAAGGGGAAAAGTATACTAAGTTCCTAGACATGCTGCTAGTATTTCCATGGAGTATACCCTGATAGAAGTTGTGTGAAAGCAAAGTTAGGAGAAACTTTTGCATAAAGTCTTCAACAGCAAGGACACTAAACTGCTTAAAGAATGTGATACCTTTCATCTTTTGCTTATAATCTACTTAATACAACCTCTTTATCTGTATGGAATCTTCTGCTTCTTGGTTTAAAATTAAGACATGAAATCTCAAGTGCAATTTAGTTACCAGTCCGTTTCCTTGCTGTGGTTTTACGTGGAAGCAGTTGTCTTGTACACCTGGTTTAACGTTAGTTTAAGCTACGTTATGAAACATGGTACTAAGTAATATGACACACATCTCAAAAATTAATGTATGAAAAGACCTTTATATGATTGAGTTTTTATGTTTTTTTCTTAAGCAAATCAAGTTGCTCAACAAGTGTCAGCTGTCAGGACACATTCAGATCTTAAAGTGGGAGAGTATTCAAGTGTAGAGACAACTGAATCATGGACAAAAGAGAAGTGGAGTCAGGAATTCTCTAAGCATCAGGTAGTGTATTAAGTATAAACTATACGTGTAAGCAGAGCCTACAGTAAATTAGGCTTGATCAGAAGCTTGTGCTCTTCTTGCACTGACACTTCTCTTTTTTCCCTTTCAATTTAGGTTCTGGTTATGACATGTCATGTTGCTTTGACAGTTTTGAGAAATGAGTATTTATCCCTATCACATATTAATCTTCTGGTGTTCGATGAGTGCCATCTTGCAATCCAGGATCACCCATACCGTGAAATTATGAAGGTGGGTATCCATTGCATGAATGTTTTAATACTTGCTTGAGGAGGAGGAGTCAGGTGGGAGGGTTGGAGAAGTGGGAACCAGTTAAGGCATCTTTTGCTACCAAGGGAAAATATCAGTGGAACCATATTTTAGCATGTTCTGGGACTGTGAAATTACTGTAATGAACAGACCTCAGTGCTATTCTGAGATAAAAAAATGTGTATTTATTGTCTTTTATGGTAGAGATTAAAGAAAAATCTGACAATAGAGAATAGAAGCTAAATTTATGGAATTAGGGGAATTTTGTAAATTCATTGATTACAATATTGGAGTTTGGGAATAGGATGTTCTAATCAGTTTTTATTATTTTTAAAATAATAATTTCTAAAGATGTTTGTAGGTCTCTTTTGGGATATTCTTGACTCCATGTTGCATTTGGCTTAAGAGAATACGAGAAACCTGTATAACAGATGTCTTTCCAAATCTCTTCTCAAGTTTAACTAGAGTATGGAACTTGTAATTTTTTAGATGATCCTTCAGTTTCTACATGGTGTAGAAGTATTATGATATGTGTATTGTAAATGTGGAAAGGATATTCTGTGCAATGCTAACGGTTTGTTTATTTTCCCCACATTGTAAATATTTACCTTTAGAGATGATTGCTGTTAAATATTTAACTTCCAGTCAATAGAATAGAAAATATTCATTCAACACTTGATTCCTTTTCCAACACCTGCTATTGAAATACTAGTTTCCAACTAAGCATCTAAGTTTTCAGTCTGCTAGCTTGATGGTGGATTTGCAGGATAACTGTCCTAAGGTATTTCATTCTCTTTTACTTCACAGATCTGTGAGGATTATCCATCATGTCCTCGAATCTTGGGATTAACAGCTTCCATTTTAAATGGGAAATGTGATCCTGCTGAGTTAGAGGAGAAGATCCAGAAACTGGAGAAAATTTTGAAGAGCAATGCTGAAACTGCAACTGATTTGGTGGTCTTAGACAGGTATGTTGTACAATTATGGCTCTTAAATTGATGCCTGTGTTTTCGTTTTGTATAGAGGAATAAGCCAGTAGAAATATTTCCTCTTAGATTTTAGGAAAGTTTGTATGTATGTGATGCCATTACTTCTGTTATGGATGGGGAGGGAACGTTAAATTGCTTTTTGAGTAACACTTTTGAGTGTTGAGGTACATCTTTCCATAAAGTTAAGTACAAAGGCTGATTGACCTTGATATTCAGAGATTTTCTGTAGTTGTTGAAAAAAACAAACAAATAAACATGCAAACAAAAACCCAAACAAAAACAAAAAGACCCACCAAAACAAGTAAAAACCCAAACAAACCAAAAATCCCAACTAAGCAACCAAAAAACAGCCAACCCAACACACCACCAACCTAGAAAATTTACATTCCACAACATGTTTCTGAGCTTGTAAAAGGCACTGTCTTATGTTTGAAGACTAACTGGTTCATGTTCAGTGTATGCCATAATGTTGTTATGTAATTAAATATTTAATTAAAAAAAATGTTGCAACAGCCACAGTACAAGATGTTCTTAATGCAAGAAAAGTGTGGGGTTTTCTGTTATTTATTTATTTCCCCCACCCCAGCCTCCCCTTTCCCCAAATGAGTAGCCTGCATTTAGAGGCTGATGAAAGACAGAGGGAGATGAGAGGAAGTAGTAAAGACTATCTAAATAGCAGAGCAAGTGGGTGTTTTCCTCTGTGTTCTTACAGAATGTAGAATCCTGTGAATATTGTTTAAAATAAAGATGGTGATAATGTGATGATTTGTTGTAGAGGAAAATTAGTGTGAAATGATTCATATGTAGCATGTTTTCTTGCACCAGCTGTACTGTGTTGTATGAATTGAGTTTCAGACAAAGTCAAATAATGGTTATTTCCTGTTTTGGAACAGATGTTTTGTGGATACGTTTTTTTAAAAGCATTTTTCTGATCTTGTGTGAACCATTTACTTTTTAAGAATTTCTCACTCATAGCTCTGCCATTCAAGAACAGTAATTACTTTACTTATGGGAGTGTGTTTATAGACCTAAATTTATGTTACGTGGATCGTATTTGTTTGGCATATCAAAAGAGTGCATTTTGGAAAACCAAAAGTGAAGATGGTGGTCAAGTAAATCATATTTTGCTTTGCCTTTAATTTTCCAATGTTTGAAACAAAGATAGTGATGCTAACCTCCTTTTTAGGGAGTGTATCAGAAAGAAGAGTATTTTAGAATGAAATAGTTTAGTATTTGAATTGGTGGAGGTTTTTTTGCTTTACAGTGTTTAACTGTGTAACCGTTACTAATTCATGGTGGGGAAAGAAATGTCCTTGAATACACTTCATGTTGCTGCTGTTATTTGCTGTATAGTCTTAACAGGCTGAAATAGCTCTGACTTTGAGAAGCTGTGTTTAACTTGATCTTTGCCCTCAATTAAGATATACTTCTCAGCCGTGTGAGATTGTTGTGGACTGTGGACCATATACTGACAAAAGTGGGTTGTATGGAAGATTATTAAAGGAATTGGATGAAGCACTTACTTTTCTAAATGACTGCAACATATCTGTACATTCAAAAGAAAGAGATTCTACGCTAATTTCTAAGCAGGTAAGGACATGCAGCTACGTGAAAAACATGGGGAATAGAAGTCTTAGTACTGTTTTTCCTTGCCATGTATGTTACATTACTGAAAGTTTCTAAGCTAGCCAGCCTAGAGTATCTGAGCCAAAGACTTCTGCTTTTTGTACTCATTAACAGTTCAAGTCTTTCAATAAACGTGTGGGGCTCTAGTCAACCATTGATTAGAACTTCATCTGATTAGACAATCTTGTATTCATATTTGCTTAAGGCAGTAAAATAATTCTGCACCCTGATGTTGTGGGTCCTTATTTCGGAAGCAAAGAACTTGACATCTTTGTGATATCCCATGACCTTTGAATAATTCAGTACAGAAGAGGAAGTAGGGCCTCAGGAAGTATTTGGGAAAACAGTACCCAGGTGTATTAAAAGTAAGAATTCAGACAAAAATTCCAGCCATAGATCTACAGTTTCTACAATTTATCTTAGAACAATATTGGACTAGTGCCACACCTTGCTGGAATAGAATTTGAACCTCAAGCTTGCCCCTACCTTTCTGTGTGTTTGGCCCTATGTTATCATGCGAGATGACAGAGGAGGGTCCAGAAGGCATGGTGTATTGAGCGGGACCCATCACACTTGGGGTCTGGGGTCCAGGCAACTTTTTTTTCACCTCTTGGGCTATGTCGTCTGGAATTGCCTCCTGAGTTACAACTATGTAGATACATGCATGTTTATTTAACAAGGAGTCAGTAATGAATCACATTTCTGTAGTAGTCTATGAGGAAGTTGGAGGACATTTTTCTTTCTTCAGCCCAAAGTATTCCAGTTTCCTTTAACATTCTTAGAAACCCAGCACTCTGATGCTGTCCAGGAAATGGTTGTTTAGGCCAGAGGGAAGGATGATACATAAGAAGGCCTATCATGACTTCGTAGGAAAAGGAAGTCCTGGTTACTTTTGTGATAAACTTAAAATGTAATAGACTAAAATATATAAAGAATGCTGGCAGCTGGGGCAGTCCCCAGGATTTGCATAGTCCAGAAAGGTGGATTAACTGCTATGCTTCTGATGCACGTAACCCTCTGTGCTTGTTTTCTGATCCAGTAGCTCTCCAAGAAGATGGAGGCACCCATATTAAGAACAAGAAATTGTTTTTCAGCCTGAGTTGCTTTTTGTCTTGGCACTGGAAAGCATCAAACCTCTATGTGCAGTTACAATTAGTTTAGATAAATTTTGCCCTTAATTAAGTCTGGCAGCTGACAAACTTCAGGGAGGATAGTGTAAAGAGGATGACCATATGTTCTTTACTGCCTCACTGAAGGGAAGAAGGAAGAGAAATAAAAGCATCAGCTGAAAACTGTATCATCCTGACTGTTGTTAGAGTTCTGTTGTAGTTGTAATAGTACATCCAAATCATGAATCTTTTTAATAGTATTATCAATTTATCTATTTCCGGATTCCTAGTTTATTGTTTGACCTCTTGGCGCTTAGGAGGAGACAACTTGCCATCAGATAAGACGTTGATGGTACTCAAGTGCCTATGCTGTACTGTCTGAGTATAATTCTCTCTGTTTTTCCTATTCCACCCACATAGACAAACCTTTTTTTTTTTTTTTTTTTTTCTTTGCGAGGCTAGACTTAATGAAGATTACTCTAAGGCTACTGTACAACTTTCTGGCTAGATACTTTTGAAAGCCTGGCAAGTATCAGTAACAAAAAAAGTAAAAATGTTCGTTGAAGCATTTATTTTATTGGGTCTAGATAAATATAAAGGGTGGTAATTTCTGCTTTGTTTATCTCACTGCCTCAAGAAGTATTCTTCTTTTTAGCATAATTATCTTAAGGTAAATTTCAAATTAAAATTCCACAAAATTGTAAAATATTCTTTAAACTTGTTTTTTTTTGAGATTCAGAAATGTACACAGTTCAAAATTTAGTTGTAGTAATTTAGATGGGAGGGGGAAACTTGCTCCATTAGAAACACCAAAGTTCCCAAGGTCGTCTAAATAACAAAAGCAGACTTCTAAATATTTTTATAATAGAACAATTGTCGTAGTCCTTACAAAGATTGTGCTACATAAGAAACAAGATCCCAGTCTTAAATGAATAGTTCATGAATGTACTCTTTGAACTGATATTTGAATTCATTTGTTGTAGATATTGTCAGACTGTCGAGCTGTGTTGGTTGTTCTGGGACCCTGGTGTGCAGATAAGGTAGCTGGGATGATGGTGAGAGAGCTACAGAAGTATATCAAACACGAACAAGAGGAGCTGCACAGGAAATTTTTATTGTTTACAGACACTTTCCTAAGGAAAATACATGCACTCTGTGAAGAGCACTTCTCGCCTGCCTCACTTGACCTGAAATTTGTAACCCCAAAAGTAATAAAGCTGCTTGAAATCTTGCGCAAATATAAACCATATGAACGGCAGCAGTTTGAAAGTGTTGAGTGGTATAACAATAGGAATCAGGATAATTACGTATCTTGGAGTGATTCTGAAGATGATGACGAGGATGAAGAAATTGAAGAGAAAGAGAAGCCAGAGACTAATTTCCCATCTCCCTTTACTAATATTTTATGTGGAATTATTTTTGTGGAAAGAAGATACACAGCAGTTGTTCTAAATAGGTAAAGCTTTTCATTTAAAAAAAAAAAAAAATGTGAAAAAAAAAAAAGGCAGACTCAGCTGCCAGCACATGGATGTTAATATTATAAATATGTAGAGGATTGTCTTGTATTTTCAGAACTCTATTTAAATTGGTTTAGGAGATTGTACTGGATCGCCATAAAGAATAACAACAACAATAAAAAAGATAATTCAGGCTATGTGTGGATCGGGTGGATGGGAAGAACATGTGTCTCTGAAAATTGTGCTCAAGGGCTTGTTTGGGACCCGAGATTGGATTTTGATTTCTTTAGAAGGCAAAACGTGAAGTACTGCGCTTAGCCTGTAAAACAGCCATATACTGATTTGTCTTTATCAGTCTTTAAATTCATATTTGCAATGGATGCTAGAAACATCTCTAACCTACTGAGTGCAACACGTCTGGAAATTTTACCATTACCTTACTAAATCGCGTTATTATATGACCCAAGTCTACAGAAAATCAAATTTGCCTTTGCACAAATATATCTTAAAATTTAGCAGTACTACTTCAACAGTTGGTGTTTATAAAATGCCTGTTCGGTTAAACAGTAAGCACTTTCTTACAGTCTCCACCAAGAAAAATATGAACCCTGGAATATTTGCCAAGATATACTTTGCAATGCTCTAGTTCCTTATCAGTTATTATTCCTGAATGTTATCCATGTTAGTTATATGTAACACGTACTTGTTAAATGCGATTCGCCACAAACCATGAATGACATCTGATTTACTCGCCTATCTTGATGTTGGGGTTTTGGTAGGTTTTTTTCAATAGTGTGCTAAATGTCCTGTGCAATTTGTTTATTGCATTCTGGATACCTCTGCAGCTGACCCTTCTGTTGTTACCTTTTTGCCTGAGTCAATAGTTTGAGTGCATAATACATTCTTTGGTCTGCAGTCTCACCTATGTGGTTTTCTGTGAACTCCCATCTCTTTTTTTCTTTGCCTTTTTGGCATTTTTAAATGTGTTTGCATAAATATGCAATATGATGCAAACGAGGCCGTTCAGTGAAATGGACATGTTCTGTTAATAACTCCTGAAAAAATAACACAAACAGATTGTGATAAATTTTTGCTGAGCTGAAATTATTATTTCATTATTCTACAGGAAGTGAACAGAACTGGTTTTTTTATTCTCTGCTAAGTTATGAATATGATTTAAATTATACTCTTTTTTTCCACTGTACATTCTTGTAGGCTGTGATTTATGCACTCTACTGTATCCTAACTGCTGTTGAACCTGTCAGAATAGGATGTCTAGATCAAATAGGTACCAAATTCTGCCATCTTTAAGCTTTAGGCACCTGTAGTACAGGTTATTGGCAGAAAAAAAACCCACCCATATGTAACTCTGTCCACTTCTGAAAGCCAGGTAGCAGACACTCAGAATACTCCTTTACTTCATGTAACACACCTGGTCTCAAAATACATGGATGATCAGCAGACCTGAGCTGTTGGGCAAAAGACTGAAGGCCTTCAGTGGAGAACCTTGCTGTAGGCTCACTTCACTTGAGTGGATTTGGTTCAAGGGCCTCTGTTGGTTGTGGCTATACTTACACTGTATATCAAGTGGAAGGACTGTCTCCTGAATAAGGAATTACCGTATCAAAACTACTCAAGCCTCCTATAATCCAGTATGGATCATGAAACTGAACTAAGTTAAAGCAGAAATGTAATTTTTCTTAAAATATATTTTTTAGAGACTAGAATACTGGTTTATGAAGTCTATAGTTTATGATGACTGCGGGAGGGTAAAATTTATAGCATGTGTTGTACTTTCTGGGAGAAATGGGTAGGAATTTTCTCTGAAGCAGTAATTAGAGCTAGTCTCTTTCTTTAGAGATCTTTAGCAACAGCTACTGCACATATTTAAGTACTACAAATTAGAAAAAAACAAACAAACAAAACCAGAAAACTAAGTGATGAAGTGGCTTATTTATTGTTTTATTTAGTGTATACAGTTGAGTTCTGGTTCCTAAAAGCTCCTTTTCAGAAGAGAGAACACTTTCTAAAGCCCAGTTGTCTTCCATTTTTATTGCGATGCCTCTCAGCTGCCTTAGGGAAGGGATATCTATTTGAAAAACACTACTTATTACCTACTACTAGTAATACTTTTTTAACCACAAGGTTGGGGTCTTGAATGTTTCTTAAGAACTTCCCAAAGATGTCCACAGTGAAATGTTTATTCAGATGGTTTTAATTGTCCGTTTCTGTAATAAGTGAGATACTGTTTGAGATGCTTAGTAGGTACTCAAACTGAAGCTATATGACTTGACAGAAATGCCATGTGGAAAAAGAAATATAAAAACAATAATTAGTTTTTGTCTAGTTATTAGCCCATACTTTCTTAGCATGTCTGTCTCAAGAGCTTTGACCACATAGAAAAATGTGAATCTGTTTAGCCTTGAACTAACAATTCACTTGCATTTTAGTGCAGGAGGATCCGTCTAGTCTGTTTCCATAAAGATACCAAGCTATTTGCCACTCTTCCATTCTCTTGCCTATACTCCCTGTCCATTCCATTTTTAACGTTGCTAAGTAAGGAAGTCTTCAAGGTGTTTTATGTTCCTATAAATCTTGTTTAAAACAGTGACTGGGTAAAGGGGAGAGACTTCAGTAGTTTTCCAAGGGTAGAAGGGGCAGGGAGACCTTTGCCATTTTCCATTTTCCATCTGGTTTGGTAGCAACTTACTGGGCAGGTGGTAGGCATGTAGCTGGGGACTGGCACAGCACCCATATTCTTGTATGTGGGGCAGAACTGCTAGCGATGTAATTGAGAAAGATTTGAGTTAGCGTTGGGGGTATACAGAGGCAGACTGTCCTTTGGATATGATGGGCACCTGGTGATGGACATGATGGATATGCTGTAAGCAGAGTGGTACTCGGGGGGCTATATGCAAGGGGTGTGATATTTTGTATATAATCTCTTGATTTTTATTGGCTCCGCTGCTCAAAAACCTGTTACAGTTGAGAAATCCTAGGTTCTGTCCATGCTGAAAACAGATTAACTAAGGATGCTGCTGCGTAATTGCTTTGGTTACACGATGTAATTATGCTTTTAAATCCATAAATGCCTAGTTCTAAATTCAGTGCATTGTTTATATGAGCAGTCTTCTACCTTGTCTGTGAAATCAAAACACTGCAGAAGCCAGCCTTTTCTGCTTCTGTAACCTAAAGAAGGATGTAGGGGAATAAACTGAGAGCATGGATGATCCTCACTTGTCTGTTCAGTGTTCCTTTTAAAAAATTGAATTAAATCCTCCAACTGTAGATATGTTTGGGTTAACTTCAAAAATAGCAAACATCTCACTGTGTAAGCTGAGCATCGCTCATCAGAAAAACAGGTCAATGTTTTGTTATTAGTATACCTGAACAGAATATGTATTTTAAAACATAGATTGTTATTCTTCTTAATATTAGCCTAAAAATTAACACCTTATATTGAGGAAGCATATTTTGTTGAGGGAGCAGTTACAGGCCTTTCTTCTAAAATCAGTCATCATTTACAGAAAATGAGGTTAACTAAACACGTGAGTAGGGTGCCTTAACAGGGAGCCTGAGTAATAAATTGGTTTAAAAATATTTGGTTTTGCCATGATGGGTCTGAAACGCCTGTGATGCATGCACATTCGTGCTGTGTATATATGCAGTCTGTCTTTTATTATTCTTATGGAGGTTTTCACTAGAACTGGTGTTTTTAGAGAATACTACGTTCAGTTTATGTGTTAGCATGGATTATTTGTGGTGCTTCCTTTTTCATTTTTGATATAGGTCTTGCAAACAAAAGATTGTCTTCCATTTTCTGGTTTGCGTGACTTCTAAAAATGCACATAATGTTTTTAGGTTGATAAAAGAAGCTGGCAAGCAAGATCCAGAACTCGCTTACATCAGTAGCAATTTTATAACTGGACACGGCATAGGCAAGAACCAGCCTCGTAACAAGCAGATGGAAGTAGAATTCAGAAAACAGGAAGAGGTAACTTCAATAAAAGTAACTGAAACTAACAGTACCTTCAGAGCCTTTTTTAATGTGTGTGTGTCTTTAAAAACGAACCAACAGGCAGAGTCTGGGCACAGTCATTGGAAGTTCAGGGAATACCCTTGGTTTAACAAATATGCATATGTATTGGAGATACAAATGTTCTTCACTAAAAACCAAACAAAAACCTAAACAAAAAAACCCCCACATGTTTAGAGATGTTGCTATGGCATATTAAGCAAACTGAAATTAAAACTTCATGTACAATCATGCTTGTGTCTAGTCAGATCATCAACTGTCAATTTTTCTGCATTGGGTTAGTAGTACAGTAATACTGTAAAGAAAATCCAAGTTCCTGACATTTTCAACAGTTGAACAGTTTTAATAGTTATCTTTGCTAAAAGTGAATTTGATAAATCATTAAATGATGTAAATAGAAATCTCTGTGATTTTGACCTCACTGAAAACACGTGAAGTATTTTGAAAGCAAATGCATTTGTTCCTCCCCCTCACCTCTGTCTGAGTTGTCCTTCTGACCTTTCCCTTCCTCCCTGGCCCAAACCTTTTCTTAGTATTGTCTAGTAAATAGTATAAATATCAGAAGTACCAGTTCTGGAATGTGCTTCCCACCCTAATGTTTCAACTTCAGAAATAATTAGAAAAGATACTGTCTTGACAGCGGCTTTTTTTAATACTATAGCTGAAAAGTTGTAAATAAACTGGTGGGTTCCTCTCCATTGCTAGTGGCTGTAGTAGCTGCATGGACTCATGTAATTCCACATATCAGATTTGATTCCTAGAAATCTGCCTTTTCTGAAAAATAGTCTTGCTGTGTTTCTGAAAAGACTTTTTGTAATAGTTTTGTATCTGCGTATTTAGACAAGTTTTTGAAGTGTCTGATCCACTCTCCTTTTTGTTGGGTTTTGATGAATCTGATGATGGAAACGGGTCTTGGACTAATCTTTCAAATTTGTCTTCATTACTTTTGCAGGTTCTTAGAAAATTTCGTGCACATGAGACCAACCTACTTATTGCTACTAGTATTGTAGAAGAGGGTGTTGACATACCAAAATGCAACTTGGTGGTGCGTTTTGATTTGCCCACAGAATACCGTTCCTATGTGCAGTCAAAAGGAAGAGCTAGAGCACCAATTTCCAATTACATCATGTTAGCAGATACAGACAAAATCAAAAGTTTTGAAGAAGATCTTAAGACATACAAAGCAATTGAGAAGGTATGAGGTCAAAGAATCATGCCTGATTTTGTTAAATTATCATAGTATTTTAAAGGAGAAATCTCTCAATATGCTCTGTTCTTGAATTGTTAAGATCCTGAGAAACAAATGCTCAAAATCTGTCGATACCAATGAAACTGAAACTGAACCCATTGTGGATGATGATGATGTATTTCCACCCTATGTGTTGAGGCCAGATGAGAACAGCCCAAGAGTTACTATTAACACTGCTATTGGACACATAAATAGGTAAGAGATGTATTCACTTTTTACCTCTTGTCTTTAAATAAAGTTTCTTAGTCTGTCTCACAACATGGAAGCGTACGCTGGGGCATTGTGTGCATTTCGTCTTAGGAATCTTGTAGCATCTTTCCTCCTAAAGAAAGTGGTTACAGCAGGTTGAAGGAATAGTTTACTTTTTGTCCCTTTATCCTACGGAGATTCTAGCTCTGATAATAAATTTAGTGATATCTATTCCTGTTGAATTAAAAGCTGCCATGAAAACATTCCTCTTCAAAATGGTAAAACCTTCCAGTTCTGATATTCACATTTGTAATAGCAATCTGTTTTCATGTTTAAAAAAAAAAAAAAAAACAAAACATGGTAAGTTAACTGAACATAATAGAAGTCCACAAGAGAGGATGATATGCTTCCAAGGGAGCTAGGCAGTATTGTCTTTGTAAGGCCATGGCGATTAGAGGAGATAGATCCTCAGTGACAGGAAAAGGTGTTATGACACTTCAGAAGAGGCAGGGAAGAAGATCCAGGGACTGGTCAATTTTACCATAGCTGTATAGAATAGTGGGACCAAGTCCTTATGGAAACTGTTTCCAGGCACGTAAAGGAAAAAGTGGTTGACAGCAGCCGACAGGAGTTTTATTGAGGACAGTTTTTTGCCTGACCAACCTTGTCTCCTGTGTGATGAAGTGCTTGCTTGACTCTATGAACAGTAGAAAAGCAGTGAATGTCGTTTGTTTAAGTAAAGCTTTCAGTGCAATTGCCATAGCACCTTAGTGGCCAAATTCGTGATATGCAGACTGTTTCAGTGGACTGCCTCGTAAAAAACAACTTGGCAAAGCAGTCAGGTCCGAAGGGTGTAACGGTAGATGATTCAAAGGCTAGCTGGCAGCTGCTTATGTGTGGCTTTCCTCATGGGCTATGAAGAGGTCCAGTCCAGTTTAACATCAGCACGTTTGCATTTGACACTGAGCTGGGAGAGGGGGAAGTGAGTGCAGTGAAGTTAAGGCTGCTGTTCAGAGGGGAACCATGACAAATAGGAGAAATGAGACAACAGTTAACTCCGGAGATTAAAAGGACAAATGCAAACTCTGATACCTGGGATGGAATAGTCCTGTGCATCAGTACAACCTTGGAGCCACCTTTGTAGAGACCAGCTTTGTAGTAAACAACTTGAAGATCTCCTGCTTGACAGTTAGTTGAACATCAGTTAGCAGTATAACCTTGCGATGCTCAGTATGGCCTGAAGTCATCTTCTGAAGTGATTACACCAGTAAGGCAAGTTTCCATTGAAATGTCTTTAGGTTTCAGTTTGCAGGTTTTGATGATTTGTAAAATGTTTTGTCGACTTAGGTACTGCGCTAGATTACCGAGTGATCCATTTACACACCTAGCTCCCAAGTGTAAAACCCGAGAACTACCTGATCATACATTTTACTCTACACTCTACCTGCCAATCAACTCACCTCTTCGAGCTTCAATTGTTGTAAGTGTTTGGGGAAGGAAGCGCCTAGAAATAAGTGAATATGTTGGTGTAGATGTCTGTGTGTTTTTTCTAGAATTAGTTTGTTTCATTGTTGTAAGGACATGATTTTTCTTTTCCTGTATTGTGCTCTGTAATTGTATTTAGAAGCCTATTTGTTTCTGTTATAATCTGTTTTCCAGTAGTTTCTGTTTATTCCAAAGGCAAAAATATTTAGATGTTCTTGACAATGCCTTGTTTTTTCACACACTTACGTATTGATTGTAGGAAAACATCCTTTATTGATTGCGATCAATAATATGTTGAGTTCAAAAACTTGAAATTTTGACTTCTGTGGAAAAACATCATAAGCTTGAGTATTTTCACAAAACTGTCATCAATGTAATATTTTACAAAGTTTTGCTTACCTAATGTTTGCGTTAAATTAACTGTTTGTAACATGTATAATAAGTAATATGCTAATCAACCAAAGTTTTAAAGAAATGTTTTTGTGTTTATAGGGTCCTCCAATGAGTTGTGCAAGACTGGCTGAGAGAGTTGTAGCTCTTATTTGCTGTGAAAAACTGCACAAAATTGGTAAGAACTGGAAAAGCAACACCTCTTTGGTACAGGGTATTTTATAATTAAGAAATTGAACATGGTACGGATGTTATGCATATACATGCATTTCTGCGATAGCCATCTACGATAGCTTCCTTTCTCTTGCCTTGTTTTGTAATATGATCGTGTACTTACTGATTTAGCTTACACTTTGTAAGCTAAAGTTAAATTTTCCAGGAGAATTTTTTTAACGTATTTTGTCTTAAACAGCAAATGCAACGTTAATACAAGACACACAGATTTTGACATTAAATACACTCAATGAAGGGAAAAAGAGTCTTGTTCTTGAAGATTTTCATTATAGGTCAGGGACTACATCCTGCAGCCAAAAATAACTTTTTTTTTTAAAGTGAATTGTGACAAATTAAAATACAAAACACACAGTCCTAAATTTATTGTGTTCTCTACTGCATCATAAATCTTGTTCCAAAAATAGAACATTGCAGGATTATTTTAGCTCTCTTGTCTTTATTAAGTGTAATAGAGCGTATTATAATCATAGAATCATAGAATGGTTCGGGTTGGAAGGGACTTCAAAGATCATCTAGTTCCAACCCCCCTGCCATGGGCAGGGAAACCCTCCACTACACCAGGTTGCCCAAAGCCTCATCCAACCTGGCTTTGAACTCTTCCAGGGATGGGGCTTCTTTATTGTGGAATGTTTTAAAGAGAATTCCGTGTTATGGGTGCTTTGATGAAGTACAGGAGTATTTATGTTTCTCTTAAGCAAAAAAATTTGTAGGTCTGGAGTTTGTATTTTTTATTCTTTCTGAGTTAACCTTTTTGATCACTGAATTCATACCGATAGATGCTTCCAAGAATAACACTGTGATGGCTTAGCTCGGTGTTGAGAGTGGACATTCAACAGTAGTAATTCTCTTTTTAGAGTGATATAGAAATATAACTGTTCCCTCTTTTTTGGCATAACTCCATGCAAGTGATTTTTAAACAAGTATTTCAGTCACTGATTGGTTTTTATAGGAAATTAAGTTTATTTTTCTTTGTTATTTTCATTATAGAATTCAATTTTTTTATTAAAATTTCAGAGATTTTTACTATAAATAAGTATTTTTGCCAAAAATTCAAGTTTTATCACTCTTTACCCAAAGTTACACTTTTGGAGCCTTGCAGTAGTAAGTGTATTTTAAAAACTTAGGTGAGGTGTTTTCATGAGCAGTCATGTCTGCTGCATAGTATATGAAGGAACCAAGATTTGATAATTTCATAATGCTATTTGTTTGTGCTCTTTCATAATATTCAGGTGAACTGGATGATCATTTGATGCCAGTTGGTAAAGAAACAGTTAAATATGAGGAGGAGCTTGATTTACATGATGAAGAAGAAACCAGTGTTCCAGGAAGGCCAGGCTCTACAAAACGAAGACAGTGCTATCCTAAAGCTGTTAGTATCACTCACTGCTATCCACATCTCCGGTCAGATGCTGTATATATTGATAAGAAGACAAAAATGCCAACTCTTAATCTTAGCTGATAAGAATCTTTTACAACAAATCTTGCATTTATAGTGGAAATATTTTGCAATTTTAACTGTATAGAAACTTGTACGATTACCGAAATGAGCTTATGCGACCATATGCTTTGGAATCATGTCTGTAGTTCAAAGAATATACACTTTCTATAAAGCTTCTTGACTGTATTTGCCCCGTATAGAAGTAACGGGGAGGAAAAATTGTGCTGCATTAATTAATCTGTAGAAAATTTAAGTTCTGTGGTAAATATACTAGAGCAAAGGAAGAATTAATGATGTTCTAGACAAATAATTGAAGACTGAAGGAAATGCCCAAGGGGTCAAAGTTATCTGCCAGGTGTTAAACGCATAAATTTTTTTTTTCTTTTTTTTTTTTTTTTAGATACTTGATTTGGTTTGGTGACTTTACTGGTGGAACACAGATTTTCATAATTTTTGGTTTAAATCTTAGAATATCAAAAAAGTATACTTTTAATATTTTTGTACTTTCTAAGTATTATACTTAATACACTAAAGGGGTCACATACTTGCTATAGCTCTGCATTGAGTAACATCCATAAATCTGTTACAACAGGTTTCAGCCACATCAGTTCATAGAATTGGACTTCATAGATAGTATTTATGGGGGAATGTCAAATACTTCAAAAGAAAATGGACAAACGAAGCTTTGTCAGAGTGTGTTGCAACAGCTCTGCGACCTTCTTTCTTCCCCTGCAGTTGTTACAGCTTCTGAGGTGCTTTGTATAGGACAGGTCACTTGTTCAGAGTAGATTGCATAGCAGCTTCTGATAATCTTTGCATTTCACAAAGAAACCGATAGCCTTTGGTCACGTGTAGGAGTATCAGCATGTACGCTCACAGTAGTAGGCTGCAGTGCTGTGTTGTACGTTCACATGTGGCCTCAGTTATGGTGGTAGCCCTTAAGTAATTCCATTCTTGGCATCCTCCACATGCTCCAGTTTTATTAGTAGTTTAAATAATTGGTTATTAGGAAAGCTTAGGAAAGGATACCGTGGCATCATTGAGTATATTACAGAGGGAACAACAGAAGAAAACACCTTTTTCTTGCAATACTCACAAACAGTTTGAATCTTTGCACAGTGTTTCTTGGTGGTGCTTCTTACAAGTGCCTTTCTAAGTCCCCTTACCTCACTAATGATTTTTGGAATAGAAGTGACTTGTAAAATGCATGATTATTGTATCTCTCATTCAGAGTAGTTGATTTGTCAAATGTTGCATCATTCTTTCTCAGTTATGTTTTTTAATACAGAATCCAAGAATACTTTCCCTTGCTTTTGTCCCAACTTTTCACATCTGGAAAAGAAGTTTTGGCAAATGTTTAAGGTCTGCAAGATCCTCTTGGGCTTAATATAGTTATTAAACTTATGAGTAATTTTCCATTAAACCAAGGCCATAGTTTTCCTACACTATAACTTTAAAATCCAGGACTACATGTATTACAATTTAGTTGCAGATAAACAGGAGGATCATTTTTGAGACCTACAAAGTAATGAACTACCAAACATGAAGCATGATTTCTTAACATCTATGACAAATACGAGTAGCAGAGTTAAAAATGCTAGTGGCTGTTGTGAGTGTTCACATCTGCAAGCTAAATTGTTATTAGAAAACTTATAGTGCCTGGGCAAAGGGGCAGTGTATCCAATTTTGGTTTGTATGTTTGTCCCAAGTGTATAAAAACATTTTTGATACTTTTAAACAGTTCTTCTGGGGAAAAGAATCTGTGTTAATGAAGCTGTAAGTTCAGCCAAGCTTATATGAAAATTGAATTACTGGGATGTATGCTTTTTCCTGTGCGCACACATTTTTCTTTTTATTTCTCTCTCTTTTTTTTTTTTTTTCCTCCCCTCTTCCTTCTACTGTTAAGGTCCAAAGACCTTGAACATAAAGTATGCTCTGGAGTTACTGGCTAAATATGGAAGTTGGCATCAAAACTTCAGTTGTATTATGGTGAAGTGCTGTCTATGTTCTGCAATTAGACTTGCATCTGTAACACAGGGTGAATATGAAGGAGGTTTAGGAATGTAATGGAGGTTGCCTCTTGGCAAATAGGAAGATCTGAGAGCATTGTGCTTCCTTGATGCAAGTGTTTGGACACATCTCATGGTCACCAGGCCAGGCTGCTGATCAAATGTTTTTGCTTAAGAAAGAAAACGTTACTGAAGTCCAGATTAATTTTTTTTATATTCCTAATTTTTAGCAATACATTTACAAATAAACATGTGAAGCCTTGTTCAAAGAATAGTCTTTAGGTGAATTTTACTGATTTTTACGATGTTGATTTTTTTAAAATTTTATTTATTTTTAGATTCCAGAATGTTTGAGGGATAGTTATCCCAAACCTGATCAGCCCTGTTACCTGTATGTAATAGGAATGGTGTTAACAACTCCACTACCTGATGAGCTCAACTTCAGGAGACGAAAGCTATATCCTCCTGAGGATACAACAAGATGTTTTGGTATATTGACAGCCAAACCTATACCTCAGGTAATGAATCCAGCTGCTTTCCTTACTCTACATGCCTTACTACCTGTCATATTTCGCTTCTTCCTAACCTCTAGACTGATGAGTTAGAAATGACTGTAAGTGCTGCTTGTATCAAGTAACCTCCAGAAAATAAACAATAGTATCCATCCAGTCCAGTCACCACTTCATTTTCTGTCTTTAGTGATGGCACAATCTGTTCTATTTTTGACAAGCTTTTGTTTTACAATTTCATTTTTTATTATTTTGCAGTGGCCAATTCAAAATGTTCCTCCTTTTTTGTATGAGCTAGGATAGGAGGGCTGTATCAGCTACAGAGGTGGCTTGCAGTGCTACCTTCTCTGTATGAAAGCGATGCTAACAAGTCCTCTCAGCATTCCTACTCTGCAGCAGCAGAAAAAGTAGTCCATTTTAGTTGAAATTAGCACCTCTTGCTTCAGAAAACTTTTAATAGAAAGGCATTTTCTGTGGATGAGACTCAGCTGAGGAAGATTTTTTTCAAATTATATTTTCTGTTGTCCGCAGAAGAAAACATTTCAGGAATATTGGCTTTCATATTTCTTCCTCCATAATGGAAGAGACTTCTATTTTTACTTTGTCTTATATAAACAGAAGAACTGTAAAACACAAGGAGAACTATTAAAAAAAAAAAGTCATTCTTTAAGCCTTCAAAATCTTGTCTATAATTGAAGATCATCAAAGGTCAAAATTCTGATCCAGTTTGCTGGGGATCAGGCAAGTGCTACCTCAGCATCTGAACTAAACAACTAGTACTTTAGAGGAATCCTACTCTGGATTTTCTCTCTTGAGTTCATCTTTTGTTTTTTTTTCTTATTTAGATTCCTCACTTTCCTGTGTATACTCGCTCTGGAGAGGTTACAATATCTATTGAGCTTAAGAAATCTGGTTTTACGCTGTCTCTGCAAATGCTTGAGCTGATAACGCGACTCCACCAGTACATTTTTTCACACATACTTCGTCTTGAGAAACCTGCACTAGAGTTCAAACCCACAGAAGCTGATTCAGCCTATTGTGTTCTACCTCTTAATGTTGGTAAGAACAGTGCTTTTGGTTTTTAGATATTCACTTTGAATTCCTTTGGCAACACGTTTGTTAGTGTTTGTGTTAAATTTCAGGTGTTAGCTGTTGAAGTAATACCATATGTTGTACTATGGAAATTTGTCAGTTATATTTTTATTACTTCTTCACAATTCCAAATTTGTGTTAACTTGGTGATATGAGTTGATTTATAGTAGGGTTCAGCTGACTCCATAAGGATCTAAAATCATATATATGTCTCCTTGAAATTTTTTTTAAATAAGCAAATATGTGTATGGAATAAGAAAAAAACTTTGTAATTTACAGCTTCCCAGAAAAGTTCAGCCTGGAACACTCTCCCCTGAATAACTGAGTTATGCATTTTCCTTTTTAAGTTGATGACTCCAGCACTTTGGACATTGACTTTAAGTTTATGGAAGACATTGAGAAATCTGAAGCGCGTACAGGCATTCCCAGCACACAATATACAAAAGAAATGCCTTTTATTTTCAAGTTAGAAGATTACCAGGATGCGGTTATCATTCCACGGTGAGTACTTATACATACTTCAGGTATGTACCTATTGTATTTATACACGCACTTGTAATAAGGGGATGTTAATATCTGCAACAGAATTACTTGTAAGAAATGTATACTACTAATCTGGAGGTATCTGGTGGTGTCTCAAATAATTGATAAATATTTTTTACTCAATAGTTAATCTTATATTGTAGGATTTATGTGTTTAGGCCTCCCAAGACTCATTACCTTTTATTAGGAATGGTAGAGTTCACCACAAAACTTAGGTAGTATTCTGATAAAACGTTGTGACTTCATCAAGAACTGGCCTATTGAAACCAATTTTAATTTAGAAGATTGAGTGGGAGTCTTATTCCCTGGTCACTGCTTGTTCAACCGACAGCCTGTGAAAGGAGGGTATGCTATTGATAGATGGAAAAATTAACAAGTGAAAAAGACCAGTTAAAAGTATCTTTCTGTTGAGTAGTAGTAGAAATTTACATCATTTTATGTACTAGATATGCAAAGGTTCTCCAGAATCGGTAGCTTTTGTGAAGACTTAGTTATTCCCTATGTCATGTTTGGCATGATGTGGAAAAACAAAATGGACTGACTGGCTTGTGCTACCTAGTATGTTGTGAACAACAGTAGTTGCAGAATATATATATAGAAGATAAATATTACTTTGGTTTGGCCACATCTGTGTAGGGCTTTTTTTTTTTTTCTTTAAATGTCTTCCTGCCTGTGCTGATGACTACTATGGTAAAAATGCAAGTGTAAAACAGTGGTGACAGACCATCACTGTGCATCAGCATTACCTCATGTGATTAGAGTTAACACCTTAGAAGTAGCTCATAGGTGGTGAAAATTAGCACAGTTGCTGAACTTCAGTGAAGCAATGGTATTTCACCTGTCTGGAGAGCTGGCCACAGCGCCTAAACCAGTATTGTTCTTCCCCCCTTCCCTCTCTATTTTTTTTTTTTCTTTAAATTTTATTAGAGATGGGGCTGGGGTAGGTGACTGAGTACATCTCTTTTATGAAAATTATTAGTTGCCATCTGATAATGTTCGGGCTTTGGAGAAGTCAAAAATTTTTTACCTTTTTCATACATTAAGAAATCTCTGGATTTCAAGTACTTCTGTTTTCAATCAACATAAAAATGGTGGAAATATGTGCTTATCCTTCTCTGTCCTACTTGGTTGTAAGGTCCTTAGAGGAAGCATAATGCAATGATGGTGTATTGGTACAGTTCTGGTTGAATTCTTCAGAATAGGCGTGATTGTGAATAAGAGAAGAAAAAAGGATTTCCTGAAAGCTCCTTTAACCAGCATGTTTTTCGTTGAAGTTCAGACAGCCTGGGAATATGGTTTTCTTGATTCTTCTGTTTGGAAGAAATCTAAAAAGTCTCATTAATAATGTGTTAATTTTATTTAGAGATGTCTATTTAGATATTTGAATACAAGCTTAAAATGATAGATGCAGCAGATCAAAGTATGAAATAAGTTAATATGCAAATCTAAATTTTTCTTAATTTTTTTTTAGGTATCGAAATTTTGATCAGCCTCATCGATTCTATGTAGCTGATGTATACACTGATCTTACTCCACTCAGTAAATTCCCTTCCCCTGAATATGAAACTTTTGCTGAATATTATAAAACAAAGTATAATCTTGACCTGACCAATCTCAACCAGCCGCTGCTGGATGTGGACCACACATCTTCAAGGTAACAGCAGTCATTTTTATTTTTGTATCTGATGTTTGTAGTTTGACAATAAAGTGCCTTTTTTTTTTAGTGGGATAAAGCTGAGGGCTTGTGTTTTCAAAAATAATTACAGATTTTTTTTTTTTCTTGAAAGATACTTAACTCGTGTTACAACAACTGTAACTTATAGAATCATGGAATGGTTCCGGTTGGAAGGGACCTCAAAGATCATCTAGTTCCCACCCCCCTGCCATGGACAGGGAAACCCTCCGCTACACCAGGTTGCCCAAAGCCTCATCCAACCTGGCCTTGAACTTGAGTCACATTGAGTAATTTTTTTTCCAGAGGTAACTGTGCTGTCACTTCACAATGCATTAAAGTTGAAATACTAAGAATAAGTCGTCACTGTAGAAAGCTTAGGCTAGTAAGTTCTATTCATTAATTATGTACTTATATTAAAGTATTTTCACATGGTTTTTAGACTTAATCTTTTGACTCCTCGCCATTTGAATCAGAAGGGGAAAGCACTTCCACTAAGCAGTGCTGAGAAGAGGAAAGCAAAGTGGGAAAGTTTGCAGAATAAGCAGGTAAAATAGAAGCATTTAACTCAAGTTGCCTCTCTCTTTACAGTGATCTGATGACCACCTTTACGGGTAAAATTCTTTTCTTCCCCCCTGTTCTCTCCAGATACTTGTTCCAGAGCTCTGTGCTATACATCCTATTCCAGCATCTTTATGGAGAAAAGCAGTTTGCCTCCCCAGCATACTTTACCGCCTGCACTGCCTTTTGACAGCAGAGGAACTAAGAGCTCAAACAGCCACTGATGCTGGTGTGGGGGTTAAATCACTTCCTGCAGATTTCAGGCATGTATTTTTTCAATATGTGTTTTTCAGAAGAATATCTAACTTTATTGGAAAACAAAGTAGAAACTTAACCATTACTATGTGAATTTAAAACTGATACCCTTGTTTAACTCATGTCAGTTTTCAGTGAAACATAGTTTAAACGGACTTGATTGTGAGTGATGAAGTTAGATGCTGCAGTCACTGTTCTTTTCAGAAGAACGTGGCTGTTATAAACATGTATGTACATGTAGAGACTTCTTATCTGGTTATTTTTTTATTTCTTTATTTTTTTTTTTTTACAAAATCGACATGTATCTTTACAGATATCCTAACTTGGACTTCGGATGGAAAAAGTCGATTGACAGCAAATCCTTCATCTCTATTCCTAACTCCTCTTTAGTAGAGAATGAAAATTACTGTAAGCACAGCACAATTGTAGTCCCTGAAAATGCTGCACATCAAGGTGCTAATAGAAGCTCTTCTGCAGAAAACCATGACCAAATGTCTGTGAGTTACAGAACGTTGCTCAATGAATCACCCAGTAAACTCCAAATTGATGTCTCGACAGAACTTGCAGCAATTAATGGTGTTTCTTACAATAAAAATCTTGCCAATGGCAATTGTGATTTAGTTAACAGAGACTTTTGCCAAGGAAATCAGCTGAATTACTGCGGGCAGGAAATACCTGTACAACCAACTACCTCATATCCCATTCAGAATTTATACAGCAGTGAGAACCAGCCCAAGCCCAGCAATGAATGTACTCTACTGAGTAATAAATACCTTGATGGAAATGCTAACAGATCTACCTCAGATGGATGCCCCAAAATGGCAGTGACCACCAGTACTTCAAAAGCTATTAATCTTTCAAAAGACAGAGCAGATTCTGAAAAGAACCCTTCCAGTGGGTACTCCTCAAAAACTCTTGGTCCTAATCCTGGTCTTATTCTTCAAGCTTTGACTCTTTCGAATGCTAGTGATGGATTTAATCTGGAGCGGCTAGAAATGCTTGGTGATTCATTTTTAAAGCATGCCATCACTACATACTTGTTTTGCACTTACCCTGATGCTCATGAGGGACGGCTGTCATATATGAGAAGCAAAAAAGTAAGTAGTAACAATTCAGTGATATTAAGTAAAAGACATGCTGTAGCAAGCCATATATGTAAAAATTTTACTAGAAAATTGAATGATAACGGGTTGATTTAATTCCACAGCCTTACTGATTATACATTGAGTAGCATGCATATTAGGAATAAAAATACAGGATTAAAGTTGCTACAACTGTGATTGATTGAAACTGTTTTCTGCAGTTAATTTTGAAATCTAAACCGTCTGATTATCAGCCTAAGAAAGGACAGGACTGAATAGAACTAAAAATTCCAGGTTCATGAGGACATTTGGTGGACTGAACACTAGAGCTGTATTGAGTAGAAACACTTCTAACAGAAGTGCTTGAATGAAGGCGTGAGAGTTAGCAGCACAGAGCCTTATGTTGTAGCTTTGTTTGACCTTTCCTTTTTTTTTTTTCCTTAGTAAGCTACTTTCCTTGAAAAATTTTGGCATGATCTTAGAGGAACACTAAAAAGGAAACAACAAAAAGCCTTACAGAGATATTGCATCAAAACTTTCAGAAGTATTTTATTAAAGTAAATGTAAACAGTAGTGAGTAGAGCCTTCAGTTCTACTGCTGGTGTTTTTAAATTCTGTAATAATCAATCGTGAAAGTTTGTGGTTTTTTTTCCCCACATAATGTGATAACTTGAATTAAATGCTAAAGATTTGATTGTCTGCCTCTAATAAACTGCATCACTGAGAATTAAATGATTGAGTAGTTTAATCTTGGAAAATAAAGAGGGCTGAATAAATTGCACAGTTCAAATAAAGGGTATGGTTGAACATTCAAGTTCAAATTTCAAGACTTTAAAAAGAATATGGAAAGTGTGTTTAAAATGAGAAATGAAGATCAGAAGTTGATAGGTAAAAAGGAAAAGGAAGTATGTTTGCGTATGTGAAAGTACTTGTTTTCCCCCTTCCCTTTAAAATATTTAAAAAAAAAAATTAGAGGCTGTCAAAATAACATCTGGATTGTGACTTAATAAGATTTGTTATATGGAACTGTTTTAACACTTTCTACTGCCAAGGTTTACGTCAATCTGCCCATAATAGCAATTGTTTTTCCTTTAAAATCTAATTTGAATGTTGATTATTAATACTGGTGATTAATGACACTTGTATAGGTCATATTTACTATTATTTTCAAAGTAGCAATAATTTTATTTTACAAAGAGAATTTAATATATCAGACTTCTTTAACTGAAATCATCACAACTAATATGCTTGACTTAAAAAAGTCTGTACTTTGCTGTGAATTGTTTGTACTATATTAAGAAAGCTAATCTCCCTTTTGAGAACTAGAGAAAATGCATGATGGGACAAGATCTGGCTCGACGCATAGACTTGTTTTGCTCGTTTTGTATTTTAACCAACTTTTATGTAAATATGTGTCCAGAGGCTTATCAGAACATTTTTCTTGAAGGTCAGCAACTGTAACTTGTATCGCCTTGGAAAAAAGAAAGGACTGCCTAGTCGTATGGTGGTATCGATTTTTGATCCCCCGGTCAATTGGCTTCCTCCTGGTTATGTAGTAAACCAGGACAAGAGCAACACTGATAAATGGGAGAAAGATGAAACGGTAAGACTTTATTTGTGTTGAGGAATAATTTGTCTGTATTCTCTCACCTTTACCTCTTCCCACCCCCCAGATATTTTGCTATGTTTTCAGAAAAAAAAAAAAAGTACATCTGTATCTTTGTTTCCTTTTTTAAACTTCGCTATAACTTACAGAAAACGAAAGGAGAACTGATCCTGAATAGAACCTGACGTAAGGAAACTTACTGAACATCATCCAGCAATGAGTGTGTATATTAATAGAAGAGCACAGAAGAAAAACTTTTTTGCTTGTAGTTAGCATGCTTTCAGGAGGTTTTTCTGAAGTTTCTCTTGGAAATTTCAAACGGAATTATCATTACTGGTTTTGCTGTAATATGTATAGGCAGGAGATTGAGTGCTTTTAATAAATAATGTTTACCTTTGTAGAATGTATGGAAAGGAGTTGCTGTTTTTCATAGTGCTGAGGCAGAATGAAGATTAGAACTGTAATGAGAAAATGTTTAATATCGATTGCTGTTAGCTAAACCATGGGTATGACTGAGAGCTGCTTCTCATCCAAAATACAATGCTGTCTGAGACACCCTCACTGTGTATCATCAAAAGCTTCAGAATGACAAATCTTAATGAGGAGCAATTCAGGTTATTTTCTGTCTAAACTCATTGTATGTTGAGAGTAGAAGTACACATATAAGAAATATCACTGACCACAGCAGTCAGTAAGGTAATCTTTAAGTGCTTGAGACCAGTTTGGAGGTCAGTGGAAGGGAGTGGAGCGATTTTTTTTTGTTTTTTTTTTTTTTTTTTTTTTTTTTTTTCATTTTCCCATTTCTGAAGACCACACTTGGATTGTAGAACCACCAGAGGGCACATGAGAGGACTGCTACGTAGATGTGCTGTGCAAATAAATGTTTATTGCAGAATAAAACAACTTGATTATTGTGGTTCTGTATTGTGCCAAGACTTCATTTCAAAGAGACTGACTGCTCTACCTTTCTGAAAATAAAATAGCACATCTGGGACAGGGGCTAATCATTGCTTTTTAAAAAGCTTTCAGTTCTCCGTAACTTTTCAGTGACCTCTTCCTCTTTGCTAGTCACTGTTTATTTGTGAATAAAACGCAATTTCAGACCAAAATGTAGGCAGTGGTGCAATTAAGAAGTAGGGGTTTTGTGCCAAGTAGATACTTTGCTTTCTTGGACATAAATTCCATTCTTCATCCATGGCTCATGGTCTATGACTGGGGCTAGAAATCTCATATCATTATGATAAATTATTACTAAAACGTCCTGATCAAATGTTGAGATTTTTTTTTTGGTGTTATCAAGCTTTATTAAGGGCAAAGATCTTCCTTTGTTCATTTGATCAAATAGCTGATTTCCAAAAAACATGAAGAAAAAGCACTTAAATATATTTATCTTCAGCTTGTAAGTGGCCATAACTTATTCAAAATCAATCAAGTATTCTTTAAGAAAAGATTCTTTCTTCTGGAGTTCATTGTTGATTTATTTTTGAAATGCTGTCTAATGATGGGAAAAAAAAATCAGCTATCAGAATTGCTTCTTGACTCCTTTACCTACTGTTCATTCTCATCACTTAGAATTTCTGGGTTTTTTTAATACAAGAAGCAATGTGCAGACAATGTTAGGGTAGTTCATGTAGCTGTCCTGTTTATTAAAATAAATTTTATTTAAAAAACTTGTAATGAAACTAGTAAAAATGACATTTATCATTTGTTAAATCTTTTTTAAAATCTGTCCTATCAACAGACATTGAAATCTATTTTGAATTGTCCATATATACATGTCTCATTCAGAGATTGTGTTTTTATTTCAGTGACTGATACTACAGGTAGTGTGTAACAAGAAAAAATCATTACTAGCTCTAGTTGGAACTGGTTAAATTACTCTTATTTTGAGCACTATACTGCTATTAGTATCCAAAATAACTATTTCAGATCAAATTTTGCAATCTCTTTCTGATCAAAGTTACAGAAGTCTCCGCTGTGTATATGTGAGATGGATAATTGCAGGAGCAGAAATACTTTTGGTGAAACATGTAAACTATTAATTCCTAACCATTCTATGATTCTATAGCCACTTTTTTCCCCTCTCCTCTCACTAGTAAACCTGACCAAGCCTGCTCCATCCTGGTGAGGAACATTGTGATCTGTTTGATCCTTAGATGGTTTCAAGTGCTGCCTAGTGCACCTCTCAGCTGCCACCCGTCCACACCTCTAGAGTTGTGCATTTGGCCCAAAGGGAGAGGTTCCCCGGTGGTAGCATCTGGTTCACAGATTTGCATGATTAAGTGGGTGAGACCTACAATACAACATACATAGATTGAGGGCAGATACGGGCTCTTTCACTTGATTCAAAATGGTGTTGGCTTGCAGGACCCTGTCCAGAAAAGCATTTTGAATCTGATCTTGCTCCTGTCAAATTCAGTGGCAGAATTCCTACTGACATCAGTGATTCTGGGTTGAATAGTCCTTTTGATGTTAGGAAGACTACTTGTGCATTTAGCTAATATGTTTAAGTGCTTTCCTGGATTGAGGCCATGGCAAATTGTACAGCATTGTATAGCTTGGACATATCTGTGTTCAATTTATAATTTACATCAGTCCGTAACAGTTTGCTCAATATGAGCAGGGAAAAGACATGAGACATCATTAGCTTTGCTGTTGTGGGCATGTATGTAAGTATTAGAAAACTGTTGACAACTTCAACTTTTCTTTCACTTAGTTGCGACTTTAAGAATAGCCTGAAAAAAACCCAAACTTAAAACAAATATGTACTTGTTTAAAGGATAGGATTAATACTTGTTGCCTTTGCAGTGAGTTATTCCTACTTCATGATTTCATGTATATGTTAATATTCAGTCTAAAAACAAACACCTATATTACAGAACTGTGCCATTTTTTCTGCTTTTCCGTTTTTAAACCTGCTATATTAAAATCCTGGTGATATTAAATGTATGACAAACTGGATAGATTTCATATTTGTTAAAATTAAGAATTATTCACTTGTACTGTGGTTCTTTACAGAGCCAAAAATTGGCCTGTATCTAACGTCTAATAAGCAGCAAGATCACTTACTGAATCCCCAGCACATGCAGTCAAGACTGTGACCCACAAAAGCATTGAATTAGTGCCAAGTAACTGGTATTAGACTCTTGTTTTTGATCTGTCATATAATCACCTACACTGATTCACTAAACGTACTTTCTACTGGTTTGCCAAGTAGACTGAATTAATTTACAGCTAACTGTGTGTGACAGCACAGAGAAACTTATTTTGCTGTTTCAGGCGCTGATTGTTGAAGAGCTAGGATTAAGAAGTTCTTGCAGTTGTTTCATTGAATGCGTTTTCCGTTTTGTGTCCCAAAACCAAGATTGTGATTGTGACTGTAGAAAACCCTGCAAATCTCTTAGTACTGGCCATAGAAGGATGTAGAAAGTATCTTCAAAATTAGGTTCATTCAGCACTTGTAATAGCATTATTTAGCAACTGGAGAGAAGAATGCAGCCCAAACTGTTTCATGTAATTCTCTAAATTTGTTCATTTAGAATTCTTTATTTTGTTTACTTTGGAGTGCAAGTGTATATAATGTTTAGTGGATTTGAAGTTGATTCTCTGTGCATCGCATTCAAGTATAAGCACGAGTTCTTATGAAATGCAGCATGTGTTATATGCAGAATATATGCTATTATAGGTTAGTAATAAAGGGTTTGCATTCCAAGACAAGTCTTAGAACAAATGCTGGTGTTAATTGAGGTTGTATTGTGCATCTAATCAGACAGTGTAATTAGGAACATTAAAAAATCAGGCATCTTATTAGAAAACACTACTCAAATCCTACTCTTCTGACAGTTCTGGAATAAAAGTTTCTCATTTCCGTGTGCAGTACCATATTTTTTGTGTTCTTTCATAGACAAAGGAGAACTTGTTGGCTAATGGTAAACTTGATGATTATGATGATGATGAAGAGGATGAAGACCTAATGTGGAAGTTACCCAAGGAAGAAACAGATTTTGAAGATGATTTTCTGGAGTATGATCAGGAGCATATCAAATTCATTGATAATATGTTAATGGGGTCAGGGGCTTTTGTGAAGAAAATTTCTCTCTCACACTTTTCAACCACTGATTCAAATTATGAATGGAAAGCACCCAAAAAGTCATCCCTGGGTAATGTTCAGTTTTCATCAGATTTTGATGATTTTGACTATAGCTCTTGGGATGCTATGTGCTATTTGGATCCTAGCAAGGCTGTTGAAGAGGATGACTTTGTAGTGGGCTTCTGGAATCCATCAGAAGAAAACTGTGGTGTTGATGCAGGAAAACAGTCTATCTCATATGACTTGCATACAGAGCAGTGTATTGCCGACAAAAGCATTGCAGACTGTGTGGAAGCCCTGTTGGGCTGCTATCTGACCAGCTGTGGTGAAAGAGCTGCTCAGCTTTTCCTGTGTTCGTTGGGGCTGAAGGTGCTCCCTGTAATTAAAAAGACTGATTGGGAAGGCACTTTGTGTGCTACCAGAGAGAATTGTAAGAGTGAGCAGAAGTGTCTTTCACCAAACTCTGTTTCTGCTTCTGTAGCTAATTCAGAGACTTCTCTGTATAAAGACCTGGAGTATGGCTGTTTGAAGATTCCTCCGAGGTGTATGTTTGATCACCCAGATGCTGAAAAAACCTTAAATCACCTTATTTCTGGTTTTGAAAACTTTGAGAAGAAAATAAACTACAGTTTTAAGAACAAGGCTTATCTTCTTCAGGCATTTACTCATGCCTCGTACCATTATAATACCATTACTGGTAAGTTGTCTTAAAGAAATTAAGGTTTTTTTCCTGTATTGTAAATGCAAGCGAAACAGTGTATCTTGTGTTCTCATGCGTAGTCTTTTTTTAGACATCACATGTCACTTTAAGAAGTCAGTAGTCTCGGAATACAAAATCTTAGAAAACAGTATCTTGCCTCTTATTTAGAGGGGGTTGAAGCTGTATCTCACTTTTATTCATATTTTGACTTGATACAGATAGAAGGTTTAATGAAGTTTTACAAAGTTTTAGGAAAGAGCAGCATTTTTAATCTCTGGTGCTGTATCACTAGTTGCACATGACTGACATTAGATCTTCATTTAACTGAAATAAGTTATTGTAGAACTCTGGAAAATTGCAGTGTACATCTAGAAGTAGCAATCATGTTTAGCAAATATATTTAACAAATTTGTCCCATAATTTAATCTCAAGAATATTACACTTTGACTGTACTTCTGAAGATTAAAAGTAGACTATACAACTTTTATTAGCTGAATAGTCTATAGGATACCAAAATATGTAGATTTTCATTTGAAGCTGTGAATTAGAAGGCTTAATTTAAGTCTAGGCATTTTATTGAGTAAATATTTAAAGTCAAAGTTTGAAGCATTTGCCTAAAACAGACTAAATATTAATTTCACGTTAACTATTTAATGTTTCTGTACATAATTTCATAAAAGATTTTACAGCAGTGCAAGTTTGTATTTCTATAATCTTCTTGAATTACTTTTGCTTATACTAATTAGCTTGGTATTCATTCATTCTAAAACTTTAAAAATTTTCCTATGATAATATACAATTAAAAACAAACCACAGTAAAATTGCAGCCCTCTTTGAAGTGAATGGCAAATTCCTGTGCAGTCAGCAGTCTCAATTTTTCGCCATAGTGAATTGGTTCCTTATTCCAAGGAGTAAGAAAGCTCTGCTTTAATTAAAGAAATAAGTCATTTTGAAATGTTAATACATTGAGAAACAGTTCTGACAGAACACTGAAATGCGCCTTTGATTTTTCATTCACGTATATATTTACTTTTTACAAATATTTCAAAAAACAGAGAAGGTAGCTGATTCTTCTTATATATACTAACAAACAGAAACCTTGAAGCATAGTGTCTAGATGAAATGAGGTTGTTGGTAGCAGAAACTTTTGATTCCTTTTCTGTTTACCAAGTAAGATAACTGTGAATTGCTGTTACCTGTAACTTTTTCTCTTAAGGAGTAGCTAGCAATTGAGATCTGGCAGCATCTTGGGTTCAGCTGCTATAAAAGCAACTTGGTACTAGCCATTTCACTGTCATGTTGCTTGTTGTGAGGTAATTTTGTCTTCCTTCCTTCTCTACCCACCTATCTCTGTTTACTTTCGAGAGGGTTTTTTGTTTTTTGCATATATTCTAAAAACAGATCTCCATAGCTCTCCGTTCCTATGCCTCTTGTCCATTTTCCAAACAGGCAAAGCTTGGCAATTTTAGTTTAGTTTAAAAGACCCATTCTGGATGGGAATCTTTGTTCAATGCTTTCTGAGAAATCTACATGTGTGGCAAATTAGATGACAAATATCAGCTTGTATATTCCCCCTGCTTTTAATACATTAATTTCTTTATTAATTTTTTTGAGGTTTTTCATTGTTACCATTTTCAGTTCAGCCTACTGGTGGAATCTCTTGATTTCATTTTTTTGATATTTCTCAGCACAATGTCAAGAGCTTGAGTAAAAGCACTAACTGAGTATAAACACAAGTGTTCTGCAAGCCTGACAAATTATCATTTGTTCAAAAGTGGCTTTATTATTAGATATAACTTCTGTTTTCTCTGATTATTTTTTTAATAACTCAATAACAATCTCTTTAAACACAAAGATACCTGTTTTTTAAAACAGATTGTCGTCTTTGAACATTGGTTAGTTTGTGGAATTTACATGGCGTTGTACCAAACCTCTTATCCAGAAAGGCCTGGAAAGAATGTGGGTGTTAAACTTAATTGTGGTGTTGTACATTCTTTTATTTCCAATGCTTTAAGATTGTTACCAGCGCTTAGAATTCCTGGGAGATGCAATTTTGGACTACCTCATAACCAAGCACCTTTATGAAGACCCACGGCAACACTCTCCAGGAGTTCTTACTGACCTACGATCTGCTCTAGTCAATAATACCATTTTTGCATCATTAGCTGTAAAATATGACTACCACAAGTACTTCAAAGCTGTCTCTCCTGAACTGTTTCATGTTATTGATGACTTTGTGCAGTTTCAAATGGAAAAGAATGAAATGCAAGGAATGGATTCTGAGGTTAGTGGAAGTAGAAGAAACGCGTTCAGTATCTGATTTGAAGCATGTCACTGGATTTTGTAGTGTGATGCGCATTTTTGTAATGTTTTAGTTTTTTGAATTCAGAAGCTGAATAAGCAGGCTCCCAGTAATAAAGCATGCAATATGCGAAGTAAAACACAATCTTCAGGAAGTATAAAGTCAGTAAGAACATTCAGAAAATAATTAAATTGAAACCAGTTTGCCTCTAGATTTTTTCTGTGATGTTTGATTTCAGTCGCTATTTTGCTTTTGTGGTGGTGATGTTAGAACAACATGGAGGGAGGAGGGACCACTTAGCTTGCTTTCTTCACTAACTGATTGGAACTGCTGCTATACCATAAAATTGTGATGAAGAGTTAATGAGGTATGTCATACTGACTCAGGATAGGATATCCATGCAACATGAACAACACTACCTTGGCACAGTGCTGGGATTATTTAACGTAGCACACTGACAGAGATCTGCCCTGTTTTTTCTTTTGATGATTTCTGCTGGAGCACTGTTACTGCGCTGCACTCAAGTGTGTTGACATGCTCCTGAAGGTTTTATATCTGCTAACCATGGAAACATTTATTTGCATCTTTCAAATAAGCCACTTGAAAAATAGTTTACTATTTGAAGACCTGCAAACACAGATCGTGTTTGTGCTATGCAGGAAAGCTAATGATAATGCTGGAGAATGGGCTAAAACTAATTCATTTTGATAAACTGCTCAGAAAATGTATGAGAGCAAGGGCCTAGTGAGTCGTCAAATTCTGATCAGGGTCCTGGAGGAGATGGACTTTCTCAGTATCCTTTCTTTAAAAGTGTTATCCAATGGATATCGCTAGTAGTTTGTCTTCTGAATAACTATGACCGATCTCTTAAAAATTATTCCATCTGAGAATACTGCAGCACTAAATAAGCATGTTATCTTTGTCTATAGTAATTTCTTCTTTCTGATACACAGTTTAAAAGCTTAGGAATCAAAATACTTCAGTTACATATATGTTTACAGCCCTTGCACTCTGCAGAGTGAAAACCATGTTTCATGGGAAGATTCAGAAAACATTGACTAAGGAATTTGTCACTGAAATTTAGATAATATAAATTATTTTGCATCAGAAGATCAAACTCCGTTATCTGTCTTGTTTTCTTCACAATGTGAGCGAAAACTTCAACAGCTCATAGTAGTGATTTTTAGCTTTGTTCAGTTTTTGCTAGTATGCAGAAAGATTGCCTAGAAACTTTCACCGAAGTTGCAACCAAATTGTATGATAGCTGTTTCAAATAAAATTCTTGTTTCAGTCTCCCTGTGTCAGCTCCCTATCTTGGTCTGGCACTGAATTACTGAAACTCTTATTTCATCAGAGTTAACGCAAGAGTCTTTGTTTCTGCAGTTCATGCCAGCTAGACTGGTTTCCATGTGTGTTTCCACGTCATCTGCTTTTCTTTTTTCACATCTCACTCCTGAAACATCTGTTGTCCCTTGCCTTATAGCTCAGTTTCTCTCTCCTTCTGTTATTCCAGTGTAACACAAAAGCACTTTAGTTTACACTTAGTATGAAATACACTATTCAGAACAATTGAATTTGTTTTTTGACGTCAGAATCCCCGTTTGGAGTGTGTAGGCATCAGGTCTGACTTCCTTATTTTGGGTAGAAATATTGGGTGGGCCTAGATTATGAAGTATTATGGTGACTCTTAAGAGGACTGAATCGGGTTTTAAACCCCAAATAGAGGCCAAATGGAGTGAAAGGGTAGCTGCTAGGGAAAAGAACGACAAACTTACTTCTCTTTAGGCAGAGTAATGGTCAAAAGCTTTGTTTTCAGGTTACTTTGTTTGGGCTTAGGTGAATGTATATTGCATGTATTTGAGATACTTTTGGCAAAGGAATAGATTAACTCAAGACCTTTAAGACATAAACTGAAAGTTTGGTTTTAATAATGAGACTAGACTATTGTCGTAAATTAGTAGCATAGAAGAAAACACTGCCTGCTACGCTTAAAAGATACCTAAGTGTGCCTGTTAGCTCAGTCTAATGTTGCTGGTTAGCAGATATTAATGGCTTATTTTACTGATACTTGTTTCATGCCTGTCTTCTGTGGTAAATGAGATAAGAAAAGGTACATCCGACTTTCATCCAGAGACTTACAGATTTTAAAATCTCCTTCTAGGAGATGTTTAATGTATGAACTCTTCCTTTGTTATGAGTGGCTTTCTAGTGTTAAGTTATAGAGCCAAGTCTGTTTCTCGTTGGAAAAAAACAGACCTATGATGAAATGCTACAGAATTATTACAGGAGGAATTCACAAAGCATATAAGGTCTCTGTACACAATGGTGTTTAGTATTTTTTTTCCCCATTTGAAAAATGATATATCCAGCAACTTGGTTTCATTGGGGAATAAAAGAAAATTTCACTGTGGAAAGTTGTCAATGAAAAACTTAAAGGAAGCAGCTCAGGATGGGATGTAAGAGAGTTTATACTTCTGAAGATCTTTGTTTTATTTTAAAAGAAGCAATTGTTTCTCTTTTCTCCTCTCCTTCTTTCTCTCTCCCCACCTCGGCTTTTTTTAATTGCAAACAGCTCAGAAGATCTGAAGAAGATGAAGAAAAAGAGGAAGACATTGAAGTACCAAAGGCCATGGGGGATATATTTGAGTCCCTTGCTGGTGCCATTTATATGGATAGTGGAATGTCTTTGGAAATGGTTTGGCAAGTGTACTACCCAATGATGAGGCCATTAATAGGTATTGTCAACTTTCAGAATAAAATTAATAATTGAGTGTCATCTGCCATGAAGAGAACAAAGCTAATTTTTTTTTTTTTTTTCCAAATAGAAAAATTTTCTGCTAATGTGCCCCGTTCCCCAGTGCGAGAGCTGCTGGAGATGGAGCCAGAGACAGCCAAATTTAGGTAAGAATACATTCCCTTTGGTACTGCTATAAATGTTTTTAAGCTGTGCTTCATAAACTACTGGGGGTTTTTAAGTGTCATGAATTACTTTTGATTTCTTTTGCGCTAAGCAGCTAGCATGATCATTGTGTTCACTGATTTTTATTTTCTTTCCTCGCAAAGCTTTCTGAGAAAAGCAATGATTGCTGTTTGACTATACTGCTTTAACTTCTGTAGAAAAGAGAATGCAGGTCTCTTACTTCACATTAACTTGCCTAGGCAGTAAGTAATTCTTGTGTATATTTTTGCAGTCCTGCAGAAAGAACTTACGATGGAAAGGTCAGAGTAACAGTGGAAGTTGTAGGAAAGGGAAAGTTTAAAGGTGTCGGCAGAAGCTACAGGATTGCCAAATCTGCAGCTGCGAGAAGAGCACTACGAAGCCTCAAAGCAAATCAACCTCAGGTCCCGAACAGCTGAGACTCCTCTTAAAAATAAAAAAAATGGGGGAAAACAACACGTACAAAAAAGCAAATTTTTAAAAATGTTGATGTTGAGAGGAACAAATTGGAAGACAGAATTTAAAGTTTGTTTGATAACAGAATAGATAACAAAACATTTAACATGTATAAAATTTTGGAACTAATTGTAGTTATAGTTTTTTGCGCAAACACAATCTTGTCTTCTTTCCTCACTTCTGCTTTGTTTAATCACGAGAGTGCTTTAATGATGACATTTAGCAAGTGTTCAGAATAATTGTTGTCAGGTCTTTTTGGTTTACTTTTATTGTCAGTACAGCTTTGCTTAGTGTTAGAAGGCCAGAGAGCTTATGCCTAATGCAGTTGCTAGATTTATATATAGTAATCTTGAAATTCTTCAATCTGTGCACTAGTGCCAGTCATAAAGCAGTTGATAAACTGTACTGGATGATTTGGTATAAGAAAGAATAAGTGTGCCAGTATTCTTTTTTTTTTTTCTCCTTTTTTTCTCTCCATGTCATCTTTTTACATTAAGATGGCATTCCCAATCATTATTGCACTTATTTGTTAGGGACAGATTTTAATTGAAACGGCTGGCATACTGGTAGAAGGAAACTTCAGTTTCCTTATGCCACACAGTCTTGCATAAAAAAGGTTCTTGCCTTAAAAATAAATAAACCCTCATTAATAATCTTTAATTTCTGATCTTTTTTGGAACAAACTGTTTTACATTCCCTTCATTTTGTTATGCATTTTACAATGATACAGCTCTATATTTACAGTACAACTCATTACTATAGCTGTGACTTGTTACAGGATTATAATAGAAATTGTATTCATATATATGTAATTAGGTTATTTTTAACAATTCTGAGGAGGTGGTTAGTCTACAGTTTGGGGTTTTTTTTTATACCATAAGCAAAATATGATCTTTGGCTAGAATTCCAATTTTACACAAACCTGCAAGCTAGATAGTTCCAATACTGGAAACAGTAATGAATTATTGCACAGTGCAAACTGTCACTCTAACAAAATAACCTTAGACATATCACACCTAAAATATGCTGCAGATTTTATAGTCAATTGGTTACGTGTTTAACAAACAGAGCACCTTTACACTTAGAGATATTTCCACGTAAATTTCTTACTGTACTTTTCAGAGTTGCATGCATATTTCACCTACCAAAGCTGTGCTGTTAAATAACATGAAAGTTGATGTTTGAGATATAACTGCCGTACTTTTGATACATCTGTGATTTAGGTCCTTAATTTAGAGAAACTAGCTCATTGGTATTTTGGTCTACTGGCGGGGGGGGGAAATCATACTTTATTTTTTAGGCTTTGCCTATACTTCTTTAATTAGATTTTTGTAGGCACTCTTCACTTAAATACCTCAGTTCTTCTTTTCTTTTCTTTCCTTTTTTGCATGCATTGTTTTTTTTTCTGTTTTGGTGCTATGTTTATATATTATGCTTGAAATTTTAATTTTTTGCACTGTAACTATAATACCTCTTAATTTACCTTTTAAAAAAAGCTGTGGGTCTCGTATTCCCACCAATATCAGTAGAGGTTTGCTGCAATTTTGCCCTGTTAATTATGCTTGAAGTTTGAGAAAGCAGAGCAAGGTGTTTTAACGTTTTCCAGCACAATAGTTTGAACTTGATGCTGTGTCTTATGTATTAAATTACAAATAAATACTGTATTTCCTGCTTGTAAACCCTATTCCTTTCCTCACAAATGCACACTAAAACAAAACAAAAACTGTCAGCTCTTGCTTTCTTAACAAAAAAAATAAAATAAATGCCTTAGTGACAAGGAAATAGACATTAAGCTTTTCTGAAATACAGTTTTCAAAAGTTCCTGTATTTTCTATCTCAGTCACTTTTCATTCTGCAAAAAGGACCAGTCTTGTATTTGAAAGCAGCATTGTTACAGTAGTCAGACCGAGAATTAAGATACTAGCTTATAAAATATTCTAGCGTTTGTTTGGTACTTCAATCATGAAAACATAACAAGGACGTATAAGACCTGCAAGTCTTGATGTGTATATAACAAATGTAAATGAGATGGAACAGTAAAAACATGCAGTGTAAATTTTCAAAGGTAAATTGCTTTGAGTTAGCTGTTTAAAACAAATAAAATCACTGATTTTAAGTTACAATTCTTCCTTCATGATAAGAGTGAAGTTTCTTAGCGAAAATACTTGATTACTGGTGTTAACAATTCCGTGGTTTTGGCCAGACATCAATCAGCAGATAAAATCAGACCATCTAGAAAGTCTTAATTAGTTTTAACTGCGTTACGAAAAACTAAAACTTAAGTTAGTCTTCGAATGCCTAAAATTGCTTACTTATTGTTACAATGTTATAGATTCTCAGGGGTTTCAGGTAATCGTTAGCAGTAAAGTGCTACAGAGTGTTTGGATGCAAAGAAAATGAACTGAACTTGCTCTGTGTTTCAGAACAGTTTAATGATCACTTTGTTACTAGATAGAGCCTATGAATTGGAAATCTGAAATGTGTAGTGGCTGACTATAAAGTAGTTTCTGCTGCTGATGCGTTTTTAAATGGGTTTTAAATGCCGTAATTTTTTCCAGTGTGACCTCATTGAAATATTTTTTATCTTTTGAGATAGAAAATTTGTATTAGTTTCCATGTTATACATCTGTGTGTTTTACCCTACAGTTGATATGATTTTGATCTTGGACAGTGTATGCTATTAAAGACCTAAATCTGATTGTTTGAAGGTTGGGATAGAAATCACTTGACATGCTATAAGCACAAGTGTAAGCGGACTGTTGCAACCCATCTTCAAAAGCAACCACACAGGCTCATCATAAATAGTGTGGGGGTTAGTTGGCATGAACCTTGGTTTTTTTATCTAAGTCCTGTTATACTGTACTTTAAACAGTCCTTTTAACTATGCTGCGTTTTTATTTTTATGGCTTTTTTTGCGCTGTTCTGTTCATGTAGCACAAATAAGCATTGCACTTGGTACCATGCTTTACCTCATTTCAAGGAAAAATTGCTTAACAGAGAGGAAAAATGTGGTTTGGCCTTGCTGCTGTTCTGATTTACTGAATTTGAAAAAGATAATTATAACGCCTGCAATGTGTCATTTACTTGCACAACTTAAATAGGTCATTTGTAATGTCTGTGGCATTTTTACTGTATGTGGAAAAATACAACAAAGATGTGTAACACCTCTTGATTGTATTTTAAAGCTATTTTTTTTCTACTACATCATTTTACTGTTATGTGAAGTAATTAAAATTAGAATGACCTCTGACACTCCAGTAATTATCTCTGAATGAACCAACGTATTATGCGTATAATGTAGTTTTTGCGAGAAGACAGCCCCTAGTAATTCGGTCAACCTCAACCAAATCTCTGCTTGGTCTGAATATTGAGTGCCCAGTAGCGACTTCTGAAATGTTTGTTCAGCTTCATGCTGCTAAAGTCCGTACAGAAAAAAAGCCTACTATTTTTAAGTCTTGTGACACAATAGTGTGTTGTGACTGCAGAGTACAGAACTTGGACAGGAACCAGTTTCCGTGCTGGGGAGGAATATAGTGGTGGCCCCAGGATAAAGTGCCAGATCCTCGGCTGGTGCAAATTGATGTGGTGTCATTTTAATCAATGGAACTGCATTCTTTTACATACCTGAAGATCTTGTGCTTATACGTATGTTGTGAAGTTTGAGTTTTCCTCCTTGTAAGCAAACGCAGAACCCTAAACTGGAAAAGGTGTTTTTTATGTTGCTGCATACGACATAACTATGCTACATGCATTTGTCTGTATAGAAAGCGAAATCTTTGTATCCCAGTCACAGCAGCACATGTAATCTGAAAATGACAAACAGCATCGTGGTCTGCTGTGACATTACACTTGCCTCTGTCTGACAGGATTCTGGGTTTGTATGTTTTGGGTGGGGTTCCCTACAAAAACGTTGTCGTGGAAATCTCTGTGTTTATTACAAGAGTGAAGCGAGAAGGATTTTGATTTTTGGTACTTAATTACTGACATTGATCCTTTTCCAATTGCTCTAATTTTGGAGAAGTTAAAAGTTAATTTCTTTACTTTCATATTAGGTTTAAAACTTAAAACACTACAGTTCATGACCGTGAAATGTAATCTAAATATCAGCTGTAACTCAGCCTGAATTCTGTTAGCAAATACCCAGAGGTCATTGTAGTATACTCCACTAGCAGATAAAATTAACTTCTGTCAAAGCTAACTACATTTCTTGAAAATAAATTTTATCCAATAAAGTCCTTGGGTTTTTTCCCTCTTTCATTTGAATGGCAACCACAGACTAATTGCTTTGTAGATGCACTCAGAATTTACTGCAGCAGCAAGTTGGAGAGAAAAATGTTTGTGAAAAAGAATTGGAAATTGCAGGTGTTTTTATTGTAAATAGTTTGACTGAAAAGATGGTTAAAATCAAGTAGAATGAATAACAAATATAATTTGATGGACAATAAAATATTTACCATCACATGCTGCAGCTGTCTTTAAGGGACATAAAATGTAATTCATTCATACTGTAATCATGCTGCAGAAGTTTGCAATCTGCACCTTATGGATCACAATTACCTTTAATAGTTTTTTGTAATAATTGTAGCTGAGTATATCTCCAATAAAGTTATGGTCTGTTCACCTTATATTGTCTTTTTGCTTTTGTTTTTAGTTCCTCCTTATCTTTCCATAAATCTTGTAGAGTTTACAAAAAATTACTTTTCAGTCTCAGTCTAAATAAAAAAAAGGAATTGTGAAAATATTATTTCTTGACCTTGTTTAAAGACAAGTCTGCTTGTCTCCTTCCTCTGATGAATGAACTGTCTTCATAGCTATGTGAAGACTCTTAAGGGACACTCAGGTTAAAAATGATGATGTACGTGCTACAATTTGATCTCTGTGTTGACCATTATACCTGCAAAATTCCTGTTGGAGCTGGGAGGCCCCAGAGCACAAGGGTTCAGTAGCACAGGTTTGCACAATTCGGCACATCTTTTAAGAATAACATGTTAATATTTGCCAATGGTCTCAAAATTAATTAAGTTTATTTTAGTTGTTTTTTTCTACTTGTTTTCTGTTAGTCTTTCACTTATCCTGACTACTGAAAGCGTGTTTGTAGAGTGTTCTGGCTGGCACACCAGCATCATGTGCCTGTTTTATGGAGATGGGACAGGCCTGCCAGTCAAAGAGCAGGAGTCTTCCTTTTTGAAAACTTCCCAGTGCAGCAGTCAGTTTCCTGGCGTCTGCAGTGGGCAACTTCTAGTATGCGTTTTGTCTTCGGTTATAGAGAAATGCCTGCTGAATCTGATAGGCATGGTGCTACCTTTTTCTGGGACTTGGAGGAGGGCTGAATCACCCAAGTCTTTCCACAGTGTGTTTTTTCCTTGTCTCAGCTGTAATGAAGCAAGCAATTCTCAGCTGAGAATCTTGAGGAACCCTGTGGATATTCTATGGCTTCCCAGCTTTTTTCCCACCTCCTCTCTAGGTTCCACCCTGACACTGATGGCATCGGTAGGTAAGGCCCTTTAAGCTCCAATGCATAGGCTAATAAACCCTAGTAAGGGGATGACAAAC